GTAGCTTCAACAGGGCAGCGTTGGCCGTCGGCTGCCCCCCGTCAGTTGTGAACGCAGCTCCCCAATCAGTTCTGCGAGCAGCCTCCTGCTACGAAACATTACTCGCAAAACTAGCTGTGAACGCCGCTCCACACCTAGTTTTGTGAGTGATGTCTTCCTCCTCACCCTCGTCATGCTCCTCACCCTCCTCTTCTTCCTCCTCCTACTCCTCCTGCTCCCCCCATCCTTCCTCCTCCTTCTTTTCTTCACTCAACCCCACCTCTCCGCTTCATGGCGTCACTCACAAATCTAGTTGCGAACGCAGCTCCGCAACCAGTTTTGCGAGCAGCCTCCTGATAAGAGACATTACTCGCAAATCTAAATGTGAACGCCGCTCCACACCTAGTTTTGTGAGTAAGGTGTTGCTCCTCACCTTCGTCATGCTCCTCACCCTCCTCTTCTTCCTCCTCCTACTCCTCCTGCTCCTCCCCCCTTCCTCCTCCTTCGTTTCTTCACTCTACCCCCACCTCTCCGCTTCGTGGCGTCACTCGCAAATCTAGTTATGAACGCAGCTCCACAACCAGTTTTGCGAGCAGCCTCCTGCTACGAAACATTACTCGCAAAACTAGCTGTGAACGCCGCTCCACACCTAGTTTTGTGAGTAAGGTGTTGCTCCTCACCTTCGTCATGCTCCTCACCCTCCTCTTCTTCCTCCTCCTACTCCTCCTGCTCCTCCCCCCTCCTCCTTCTTTTCTTCACTTTACCCCCACCTCCCCGCTTCGTGGCGTCACTCGCAAATCTAGTTGTGAACGCAGCTCCCCAATCAGTTCTGCGAGCAGCCTCCTGCTACGAAACATTACTCGCAAAACTAGCTGTGAACGCCGCTCCACACCTAGTTTTGTGAGTAAGGTGTTGCTCCTCACCTTCGTCATGCTCTTCACCCTCCTCTTCTTCCTCCTCCTACTCCTGCTGCTCCTCCCCCCTCCTCCTTCTTTTCTTCACTTTACCCCCACCTCTCCGCTTCGTGGCGTCACTCACAAATCTAGTTGTGAACGCAGCTCCCCAATCAGTTCTGCGAGCAGCCTCCTGCTACGAAACATTACTCGCAAAACTAGCTGTGAACGCCGCTCCACACCTAGTTTTGTGAGTGATGTCTTCCTCCTCACCCTCGTCATGCTCCTCGCCCTCCTCTTCTTCCTCCTCCTACTCCTCCTGCTCCTCCCCATCCTTCCTCCTCCTTCTTTTCTTCACTCAACCCCACCTCTCCGCTTCATGGCGTCACTCACAAATCTAGTTGCGAACGCAGCTCCGCAACCAGTTTTGCGAGCAGCCTCCTGCTGCGAAACATTACTCGCAAAACTAGCTGTGAACGCCGCTCCACACCTAGTTTTGTGAGTGAGGTGTTGCTCCTCACCTTCGTCATGCTCCTCACCCTCCTCTTCTTCCTCCTCATACTCCTCCTGCTCCTCCCCCCTTCCTCCTCCTTCGTTTCTTCACTCTACCCCCACCTCTCCGCTTCGTGGCGTCACTCGCAAATCTAGTTGTGAACGCAGCTCCACAACCAGTTTTGCGAGCAGCCTCCTGCTACGAAACATTACTCGCAAAACTAGCTGTGAACGCGGCTCCACGCCTAGTTTTGCGAGTGAGGTGTTGCTCCTCACCTTCGTCATGCTCCTCACCCTCCTCTTCTTCCTCCTCCTACTCCTCCTGCTGCTACGGCTCCTGATCACTCAGCCCCCTCCTCTCCACTTCGAGGCGTCACCCTCCAATCTAATTGCGAATGCAACTCCACAACAAACCTTGCGAGCAACCTTCCGCTACGAATCATTATTCACAAAACGTGTTGTGAACGCCGCTCCACAGCTAGGAAGAGGCGGTGGAAAATGGGGGAGGATGTTGCTCAACTATGGCTGGTGCCACTGGAGCTCGGCATTCACCAGATGACGCGGAGGAGGAGGAGGAGGAGAACAAGGGGCTCAATTTTGAGGAGTAGGGCAAATATGGTTTGGAGGAGAAGGTGGAGGAGGAGGTGGTGGAGGGGGAGGAGGAGGAGACGATGAGCAGGAGGACAAACATTGGGAGGAGGAGGAGAAGGAGGAGGAGGAAGAGGTGAATGAGGATTCAGAGAAGGAGGAGAAGGAAGAATAGTAGGAGGATTCTGATGAGGAGGACAAACATGAGGGAGAGCTTGAGGAGAATTTAAAGAAGGAGGGGGGGAAGAGAAGCAGGAGGAGGACAATGAGCTTAAATTTGCGGAATCGGAATAGGAGGAGGACAACATGCCGAAGAGGAGGTGGAGGAGGATTCAGAGAAGGAAGATGAAGAGGACAAGGAGGAGGAGGAGGAGGAAGAGGAGGACACGGAGTTTGAAAGGGAGAGGGGGTCGGAGGAGAATGATGAGGACAAACATGAGGAAGAAGTGGATGAGGATTCATGGAATGAGGAGGACGAGGGGAAGGAGAAGGAAGAGGAGGAGGAAGAGAAGAGTTGATGCCAATGCATTTGATTTTGAAGCGGAGGGGGAAGAAGACAAACATAAGGAGGAAGAGGATGTGGAGGAGGATTGGGAGACGGTAGAGGAGGAAAATGAGGAGGAGGACGAGGAGGACAAGGCGTTTGGTATCGAGGAGGAGGAGGAAGAGGAGGACGAGGAGGAGAGGACAATTATGAGGAGAAGGTGGAGAAAACTTCAAAGAAGAAAGATGAGAAAGAGAAAGAGAGGGGGGGGGAGCTTGAGGTTGAGAAGGAGTAGGATGCTGAGGAGGAGGAGGAGGGGCATCATAAACATGAGATGGTGAGATTGGATTGCAATGCGCCGCGAAAGACTGAAGTCGCTTCGCGCTGAAGTGTTTGGATTGCAATCGACGGAATTGCGGTTTGCAACGTAGCAAACCATCATGAAGAAAAACAGGAGGAAGGAACGGGTTATGATGACTGGAGGGATGATGGGAGAATGTGTATGATCATGTGGGGGGGGGGGGGGGGCGAGCATATGTATATATATATATATATATATATATCGTTGTATGTATATATTGGTAAGTACACACGCGCATGCATACATTCGTACTAACATACATACTTTGCGAAGAACTCCACCGAAACCAACGAAAAACTGCATACGGAGAAGATCGGGGCGACCCCCTCGAATGGAAAGAACCCACCCTGCAGGCTCGGT